TCGTGACCAAAATAAGAAATAACTGGAAGGTCTACTCGGATCACCAAAGAGAAAATCTGAATGCCTGCCTTTCACAGAATTGAGCGGACGACTGTTCATTCACACAACTTGCTGTAATTGAAACAGAACATGTTCAGGGTAAAGTCACTTTATCCACCTAGAGTCATTTCAAGATGCACATTTCCAAATACACGCTTCTTTCAGATCACTGTCCAGAGACTGCAAGCACAACTCCATGGGGCCCACGGCACAACACTCACCGAGAAGGGCATCAAATACATACATTCACGTCAAATTAAGCGCACGCCAAGGTCTCATCTGAGATGTACAACCTCCAGAGGACATGGCTTATGTGAGCAAGAAGGGGGAGAGTAAAATCACACAAGCTTTAAATGAACTAAAAAAGGAACCCACTAAGAGAAATACTCTATTTCAAAATAAAGAATTTCAGTGAAAAGAAAAAGCCTCTAAAACTGACATTCGATTAGAACTGACCCAAAGCAGAGAAGCCCAACCCAGAGAATGTACAGGATCAGGAGTGAGGAGGGAGGGCACCGTCTCTGAAATGGCCAGCTAGCATCCAAAGCATCTTCATTTATAAAGTTCAAAAAGCAAGTACTTTTAAAGCAGAAGAAACACTAATAAAACTGCTTTTCTGGTTGTTTTTCAAAAACTTCCTCATAAATATGAAGGAAAAAAAAACGCTGGCATGAGCTAGTACCTTACTATTAACAAAGTTTATATTTCCTCTTGAGAAGACAGCGAGTCGGCCAGGCTAATGAAGACAATGCTCCATCTGATGCATGTTGGTTCTGTAATGGATTATTCGAGTCCGTCGGTATAATAAGAGGTAGCTTTCCTTCCAAGGCAATGCCAAAGGCTGGCCTGAGGGACGGCTCGACTACAAACTCCTATCTCCTCAGCACTGAAAAAACAGTGCTCCCCCAAAACAACAGGAAGTCCAAGACAAGAAGCACAATTTACATGAAAAGCAGAGAAAACATCTACCATCTGAATGTTTACGTGAGACCGAAGACAAGCAATTATGACAAGAGGCCTGAGCACAGAGTCTCACCACTACCTCTTTGCAAAATCCACCAGGAGCACTGAAGAATGGACCGAAAGCCCAGGAAACAGACGGTCTGCGAGCTCTCAGAAACAGCTGTAAAAACCGACCTCAGACCAGACCCCAAAGAAAGGCTTCAGTCCAAATAATCAATAACAACACAGACCGTATTCTTCGAACACGAAATTATATTAGGAATTATCCATAAAAAGATTTTCTAAAAACCTTTATGTTTCAAAACTAAAGAACAGACTCCTAAATAGCCCACATGATAAAAAGAAATAAAGTATTTCAAATCAAAATTCAAAGAATTTTTGATATTAATATTTAATAAATTCAAGTAAATCATGCTTAAAGAGAAATGTAGAGCCTTGGGGCACCAGGGTGGCTTAGTCGGTTGAGCATCCGACTCCTGATTTCAGCTGAGGTCATGATCTCAGGGTCCTAAGACCAAGCCCACATCCAGCTCTGTGCTCAACACAGAGTCTGCCTGAGATTCTCCCCCCGCCCCCCACTCCCCCTCCCCACCTCACATGCACACACGTGTGTGCTCTAAAACAAATTTTAAAATAAAAAAAAAAAGTATAGCCTTAAACATTCATTTAAAGTGACAAAGACTAAAAATGGACGAGCCAAGTATTTTCCACAAGAGACTAAAAACATAAATAACCAAAGAAATTAAAAGGAAAAATAAGGAATAGAAATCAGTGAAATGAAAACCAAAGCGAGTATCTACAAGACCAGAAGTTGGGTCTTTGCTAGAGGGTGACTTTTTCAATAGTTTCTTTAAAGTCTCATCAAAGAAAACAAAACACAACAAAAAAAAAAGATTTAGCAGGAACACTGTGAACTGTAGATATATTTTTATAAAATCATAAAAGCACAGGTGAACCATCTGATGCCATGACTTAGTAAAAAGAGAAGGAACAGTTGGCTGCAGAGAGGCTGGGGAGGGCCTGGCGACGCTGGCTTCTGCTCTCCCTCCCACGGCCAAGCGTCCTGCCCTGGGCACAGCCCACACGTGGGGGACAGGCCGCTTCCAGAAACCCTCAGCCCCCAGCCAGGCGGCTGGTCTCCTCCACCCACCCACGTGCCTTGCAAATACTGTCATTTTCTGAGCGCGCCAGGCAGCGAGACGACTAGGCAGATCTATCCTGATCACTGGCTGAGCAAAACAATGCACCGAATAACGGTTTCACTTCATGTGCCTTCGCGGTGAAGATCTGGCCGGAACCACAGACATGGGAGTGGGACGCACAACTTCTGAGAAGCCTCAAAGGAAAGGGGCGTGCTCTTGTCCGCTGCTCCTCCGTCCCCTCCCTTCCTGCCAGCCGCACCTGGACAGTCTCCATGGGCCACGAGGGGCCAAGACGCAGGGGTCACGCACATGGGGGATGGGCAGAAGATGCCTGGGCCACTGCTACATCCACCCTCTGGCTCGGGAGCTGAAGCGCTCCCCGCTCATCTAAGCCACTGACACTTGGGGTCTCTCCTTCACTCACAGCCCAACCCAACCCAAAGGAACAGAAAAACGGAATACACGCACTCAAGAAACTGCCTTGGTGAGACAAACAAAGGGTCAGTCCAAAAGAACAGAACCGCTACAGCAACCCAAGTCGTCCGGCTAAGAAAAGAGCAGGAACTGGCAGCCGGACAGAATCACGTCAGCCGTGAAGGGAACTCACATCACAACACAAGAAATTAGAGACACTGAGCACCGTGAGTGGGGCGTGGGCGGGGGAACTGCGCTTGCGGGCACCGTGGAGGGAGCAAGGAGGACGCAGCCGCTTCTCAAAAAGACCCACGCGCGCCGCACTCTTGCTCATCGGGTCCGCCCCAAGGGACCGGCGGTCTCCGTGCACATAGGACATGCAGGATGCTCTCCACAACTTTCCTCCAAAGGACTGAACCCCCAACAACCCCCACACCCTCACCCGACAAGGGACACACACCCAGGGCACGTCCACAACAGGCACAACCCACAACAAAAGGGAAGGAGCTATTCCAGCAGCATCACCCCAACGGGGACGATGACAGAGAGGGGCTAGCCAGGACAGGAGCACAGGTACCGAGCCCACACGGCCACACGTCTGGGAAACAAACCAGAGGGACCAGGAACAGAGCAGCAGCCACTGGACCAGGCGGGAAGGGGGTCCCCTCTCGCCGGGACCTGTGGGCGGCAAGGCCCACGTCCTCCATCCCCAGCGTGGGCGGCATAGCCTCTCAGACACAGGAGCACACCCGGGCACTGCCGGCCCCAGTCCCTGACTCTGGGCCCGCACCAGCACCAGGCTGCGAAGCCTTCCTGCCACACAGCCACACAAGCTCCCACTGCTGCTGGCGCTGCAGCCACTGCCAGGCTCTGTCTGTAGGGCCGAGAAGCCGTGACAGCCCATGTGGCCCCCCGCGAACACGTGCACATCCCCTCCCCCTGGCAGACCTGTGGGCACCTGAAGGCCAGCCAACGCGCCCTGGAGCCCAAGAGTGCAGGTACACCGGAGTCCCCAGAACCAGAGCTAACAAAGACCAAAGAACCAGACGCCAGGCACCCACCCTGGGAGGGCCTGGGAACAGCACGCCACCTGAGACCAGCACTGGCCTCACAGGTCTGCCCCAGGCAAGACACACGACTGCCGAGCGCAGGCGGTGGCCTTTCAGGTCAGGCTGTTGCCAACTCTGACCCAGGGACCGAGGCCCTGGGGACAGCGGGGCTGCAGCCGAGGCAGAAAAGACATCAAGTCTCCCCGAAGGTTTTAATTTTTTATTTCAAAACCTCAAAGATGTTTTTTGAGGGCCCCCGAGTGGAAGTGCAGCCTGATGCCCCTGTGTGCACCGACAATGATAAGGCTGGCTCATGCCCCGGGCCGTGACAGACATGCGACCCCGGCTCCGACCCGACTCGCTGTGCTGTCTGAGAGCAGCCTGTGTCCACCACTGAGGACACGGATTCCCCACCTCTCCTGCCTGGGCCTGAAGGCCTCCAGCCTGAAGCGCACCCCTGAGGGCAGCCTGTGGCATGGACCCAGAGCACTGTGCAGGGCAAGCACAGGCAGTAAATGGGGACCCCCGAGCCTCGCCCTCGCCCACATCACAGCCCCAAGCTACACACTCGTGGTTTCTGAGCAGCTCCCAGAAATACCACCAGGGCCACATGGCAGCCCTCTGGCCACGAAAAGGACGAGGCCCTGCTAAAACCCCACAGCAAGAGGCCACGGCCTGCACAAAGGCAGTTCTCCCTCCGGACGAGTGAACGGGGGGTGCCGCCAACTAAAGCCCCGGACAGCACTCTTCTCCTGGGACTGTTCCCGGACCCCTCCGATGTCGCTCGCGACTACATGGTCCCCTCACCAACTGTTTCTGGCCATGGATTCACGAAAAACTAGGACATTTTAGGTGGAATCATCTCTGCGTGTGAGTGTGTAAAACATACTGGAAACGTCAGCTGCCAAAAGAACAGTCTTTCTGTTACAGAAGCGGTTAAGTGAAGACATATTCTTATTTTTGAAAGTAGCTGTAACAAGCCTAGCCATGACTTCTGAGGCTCGCTGCGTGGCCTGCAGGTATTTATCCCAGAGTCACAGGCCCAGGGGTGGCGGCTGGCAGGAGGCTGGGGGGTCCCAACAAGACCACAACTACAAGGAAGGCGGCGGGGAGGCCAGGCTCCAACAGCACCTGGATTTAAGCCAGATGTGAAAACTCCCCCATCTCTTATTCTGCAATTAGCCAGGGCCAGGCGGCCCGCCTCCCGGCTCTGCAAGCAGGGAGAAGGGATTGGATAAGGTAGGAAGGGGACAGCCATGGGGTCAGAGCAGAACTGTCCTGTGACCTTGACTCCAGGACACTCAGGAGCAGCCCTGGATTTTCTATCCTTCCAAATGAGGAGGTGGGAGGGAGCCTGAAGTCCATCAGCACCTGCGCAGACATCACTCCTTACCTTCTCTCCAGGTCTGGGTGCCCGCTGAAACTTCTCATAATCTTTCTTGGTCTCCAGAATCTTTTTCACAAGTCCTCCTGTTGAGAATCAGTGGTTTTATGTTATTCTCTAGGGAGCTATTCTACTCTAAATGGGTGAAGGGGTGTTCTTCCTCTTTCTATAATGAACACAGCTTCAAATAATCTTTTTTTGATAAAAGGATCTACTGCAGACTGATACAGTGGGTGATGGAAATTAACCATAAAAACTTTAGAGTGTTTCAAAGAAATCAGCTGAAAGGTTTAAAAAAGAGAGAGAGAAAAAAACTTTGGAAATAGACAACAATTAGGAGGAAATATAGATTAACACTCCAGATGATAACCTTTTGTCAAACAGGTGTGGCAGTCCTAAGCTGTTTCTAAGCACAAATACTCCTTCAATATGAGGTCAAGAGTCTTCAACTTCCTTAAAAAAAAGAAAGAAAGAAAAAGGAAGAAAAGAATTGCCTATAGGGTAAATATCACACAAAACACTGTCTTTAGCATATGGCCTCACTCAAACGCACAGCCACGTGAAAGCGACTGTGGACGCTCGGGACGGCGTCCTGGGAGCTGCGGTGAGGGCTTGTCCACACTGCCAAGGGACAAATGTCAGCACGCGCTGCCCAGTCACAAGAGCAAGAGGGACACACGGAGATCCTGCCAAATACACACACACACACACGCACCACACACACGTATTAACCTGTAATTTTTAAAATCAAAGTGTAAGCCCTATTCCTTACTGTCACCTACAGGGGGAGTGAGAGGACAGCGTGGAGGCCCCAATCTCAGAATATGCCTCCTCTGGTACATTTGACCTTGGAAATAGGACTATTTTACAGAAATAAAACAAAATTATATCCGATTTTTCAATGCCTAAAAACTGAAACCAAAATGGAACCCATAAACCTAAGAACATCACGCTGGCAAGCAGAGCCTAACAGAATTGTTCTGGAAACTTACAACAGAGTAACTGGCTGTCCATCCCTGAAGGGACATACCTGAGGCATCACGCTGGCAAGCAGAGCCTAACAGAATTGTTCTGGAAACTTACAACAGAGTAACTGGGTGTCCATCCCTGAAGGGACATACCTGAGGACAGACAGACCCTGACAGAAACCTTACACAGTCTCCGGCAAACTGATGCCGCTGATAGCTGGTGGTGTTCCAAAGGTGCTGCGTGTGCATGCCAGCCCCAGGGTGAAGCAGACAGATGCCCGACACTGGGAGCCAGGATTTTTGGCATGAGATAGACATGCATGTAAAAATCAAAAATTTAGAAGAGAGTCTAGAATAGTAAAGCTGCACTGGAAATATCAGTATGAGCTTGGATACACGTTCTCATTGTTTTTAAAAAAAGGTAAGAATACCCTTAGGAACAACAACCCAGAAGTACAGTACAGTCAGGCGTACTGTCCCTGGAGTACAGTCTCTGTTTTGGAGAAACAGAGGGCTCCAGCCTTGGGGCAGGAAATACACCACATAAGCCTGGAACATCTGGTCCTCTCAGAAAATAAGTAAGCTGCAAAGTCTCCCAGGCTGTGTCAACAGGCCCCAGAGAACGGCTCCAACAGGCACCCACCAATTACACGCTGGGCAATCTGAACATCAGTGAGAACCGATTTGGTGTGAAATGAGGCCCCTCAAATGCGTTAGAGGTAAACCCATGATTTCACACAGGTACCACAGAGCTATCAGCAACCACCACCCCACATGACCCCTTCAGTCACAATGATGGTGCCAGGGCACAGATTGACTCTGAGGAAAACCCTCCTCCTAGGGGCTGTGCTACTAGGGTCAGAGGCTGGGCGGGGTGGGGAGCCCTGCACCACGGTGTCCTCCAGCCAAACCCTGAAGAAGGGTGGGTAGATGAGAACATCACCATCCTGCAGCCCTTAATGATCCAGGCTAACAGGGTGCCTGGGTGGCTCAGTGGGTTAAAGCTTCTGCCTTCGGCTCGGGTCATGATCTCAGGGTCCTGGGATCGAGCCCCACATCGGGCTCTCTGCTCAGCGGGGAGCCTGCTTCCCCCTCTCTCTCTCTGCCTGCCTCTCTGCCTACTTGTAATCTCTGTCTGTCAAATAAAATAAATAAAATCTTTAAAAAAAAAGAAAAAAAAATGATCCAGGCTAACCTCACAAGCAGACATCAGGAAAAACCAACACCACCTACCAGTATTCTTGCTCAAAACCTGCATCTGACCAAGTCTCTGGGACCAAGTTACAAGAATAAAAGAATATGTAAAGAACCATACCATGGGCATGTAATAAGCAACACTCAACTATGGGAAACCCTAAAGGACAACCAACCAGTTTCCTCCGCAAATACATTACAAGGGAAAGGGGAGGGAGGGAACGCACAGGTTAAGAGAGACCCAAGAGTTCAATCGAATCCAATAGTAAGACTTTATTTGGATTCTGACTCAAACTAGAAAAAAATATACAAAATAACTAGAAAAACTGTGATGATATCAGGAAATTATTTCATTTTTATGGTTATGTTTTTTGAAAGAGAACCCTTATCTTTTAGAGCTAAACCTAACATGTTAACCAAAGACACGATCTTCTCTAGGCCTTGAGAACAGTCTAGGGGAGCAGGGGTCTGCAGCAGCCAGAGGCTTACAAAAAACATAAGCCAATCACCATGGACACCATGTGACGGGTACCGGGGGTTCGTTGGACTACTCTCTCTGCTTCTGCAAATGTTTGGAATCAAGGAAGATACTTGGGAAAAGGAAAAGTAGTATTACAAATACTGTCGATTTGGGAACGACCCCAGAGGTCTAACCCTTAATCTAAGTGCATGCCACGTCAGAAGCCACTGACAGACAGCCCCAGGTCCCAGGGCCCAGCGCCCATCGGCTCTGAGACCAAACCCACCAACCGAGGAGGAGCCCATCCATGCCCCGGTATACCACCAGGACCAACGCGGGGCTCGTGGAGCTCCCATGTTCAAGACCCTCCCGTAGCCACACCTGCCACTCACCGTGCTTCTCCTCGGCCTCCATGTCTACCGCAGGTACCTGGGCAGGAAAGCAAGAAGGAAAAAGCTGATTCTTGAAATGCTGCTTCCATGGATCTCCTCAAGGCAATGACACAGTTAAAGAAGGCAGAAATCTGACTGAAAAATCAGAGGTTCGTTTTGTCTACATAAACCTCAATGCTGGATCAGGAGTTCCAAGGCCGTCCAGGGGCAATGCCAGAAACCGGTGCTCCCATTAACTCACCACTTCCAGCTCCGCCATCTCAGGGAGCTGGGGGGCCGCCTCCACCACAAACTGACTGTCGTCCTCATTGTCAGAGTTCTGCGCGTCTACGATCACACTGGCAACGATTTTCCCACTTCCTGTCCTAAAGAGAAAAAGGAATCAGGTTATATCGGAAGGGCTACTGATCGCACGTCTGCATCAACCCCCTGCATCCCAGGCTCCGAGAGAGGAGTTTAACCACTACCTACCTACCTGCCTCTAGAATGTCACAAAACCCAGGTGTGAAAGCCAAGTGCAGACCCACGCCTGGGTCCCTATGAGAGTTGCCCTCTGTGCTCCCTCCACCCCTGCCCCCTCCCTACACCCCTACCTCCCGAGGGCCCTCAGAGCCTCACTCCTCCCCTGGCTGCACTCTCTGGACACCAGCCCTCCACCTGTAGCCCCTCACCCGGGGAGCCCTAGTCTTCCAAGTCACAAACATCAAGGCAGGGGTGGTGATGCAGCCCCAGACCCCTGCCCCAACACAGAGGCCTCCTGGCTGCAACTCCCTGCCCAGCACCTCCTCTCCACCAAGACCTACCATCACTCTGGGCCAGTCCAATACCCAACTGCCTGGCCCGTAGGCCTGGACCTGTCCTCGCAGGTGACTATGTCCGTCCAAGGGCTCTCTTAGACCTCCTACAGCCACCTGCTGAAACAGCCCTACCTACTGTCACCCCACTGGAGGCCACCGTCAGCTGCCCTCTGCTTAGGCCCTCACACCGACCACACTGAGCCCAAGTCACAAGGCTCCAAACCCAGACACTCACCACCAGCTCCCCATCAGTCCCACCTGCCTTCACTTCTCACGTAGCAGCGTAATACCACCCTGCTTTACTGAGTGCCCTTAACCCCCCCTGCCCTACGATCCCTGGTTCACACACAGACACACCTTCTCCCTTGCTTCAGGGCAACACACAAGGTCAGCAGGAAACCCGTGCATTTGGGTATGAGCTCTCAAAACAGTACACATTTCCCCCAAAACACCCTCAGCTTCTTCGCTGGGCCCTTCAACCCTCACAGGCAACGTGTGGCCTCCACCAGGGCCAGCCTCACCACACCCCATATCTCCCCCAAGCCCTGTACCCCTCGAGCCCCTCCCACACACCATCCCTCATCAGCAAGCCCTCTCCATTCTCCCCTGCCTCAAGAAAGCTGCTTTCCCTATGGCCAGGCCCAGAGGGAAAGCAGCTTTCTTGTGCTTATTACTATGTCTTCCAGATCACTCTCTCTCAAGTCTGCCAACTCTGACTCCACACCACAGCCTCTCTGGCCCTCAACACCTGGTCACCGCTGCCAGCTGCCAGGCAGCCCCCCTGCACTCCTGGCTCCCTGCCAACACTGCCCTCGTCTTTACTGAGAAACAGCCCTTCCCAAAGCCTGGCTCTAGGGTCCCCAAGCCCTCCTGCCACCATCCTGCTTCCATCACCCTGCTACACATCCAGGGTCACCCTTGGGCACCGCCACTGGCAGCAAGCCCCCAACCTCATATCTGAGCACCCCACTCTTGGACCACCATCGCCCACATTTCTGTCTCCGTGCCCGCCCAGAGCCCGCACCAGGGCACCTGCCCACGGCGGGAGAACAAAGTCCACAGCAGCACTTCACACCACGTGCACCCGGAGGCAGCCCAGCTTCCTGCTTCGCACGCTGTGCCACAGACCTCTGGGCCTTCGGTCCTTTAGATGGGGCTGCCAGTCTGAGGGGGACTTTCGACCTCACCCCTGCCCCACTGCCCAGCTAGATGCCAAGAACATTCCCTCTAGGCCCTCCCAGTCCTGACACTACTCGGGATCTCCAGATATAGCCCCACAGAAGGCTGGGGGTTGGGGGAGGATATGACCCCAGATGAGGACCCTCTGCTCAGTTCGACACCCGATCTCTGGGAGCAGGGCTCTGGGCCTCCCTGCCTAGACTTGCTCTGGGTTCACAAGACAAGTGGAGCTCTGGAGTGGAGGAGAGGGAGGTCAGCTTCTAGAACTCACCTACATGCACCATCCCCTCCAAAGCCAGTCACTCTGTGTCCCCCCACCCTTCAGGGACGATGTTCCAACAATCCTCCCACCCCTGTAGCTCCTACCTCCCCAGTTCCCCATCTCCTCAGATCGGTCCCATCACCAGAAACATGCACCAGTCTCCTCATCTCAGAAACAGTAAAGAGTAATGTTCCCACAACCTCTCCCTCCTGCCACCTCCTGCATCAATCCTTCATGTCCCTTACAATGCAGCCACACCTGTCCCCAGTTCCTGCCTCCTGCTCTATTTCAAACCATGCCGGTCTGGCCTGCTCTATTTTTCTATTTTTATGTTTTGATTTCTTGTACTTTCCTCTAAAGATCACACTACATCCACAGGGATAGCTGTAACACTTAGAGAACCCTGTCTGTGGCTTGCTTTCACATACTTTATGACTTTCTGACCTTTTATCTTATATTTGTGTGCAATTAAGCCTTGAAATCTATTTTTTCCTATTTCCCCCCTTGTTGCTTCTATGCTTAGAAAATACTCCCCCCGGCCCCCAACTTCTCTCAAAGAATAATTCCCCCCACCCCCACCCCATGCTATAAATATAAAGCACATTTTCTCTTCAGCTAACTGAAATGTGTGGCTGGGGGCATGTGGCCTGACCCGGCTTCCCCACATGTCAGGTGGCAGTGGCCCCGCCCCCCACCCCACCCAGCACAGCCCCCTCACAGAGGTCTCACCTGTCTGGTGTCAGCGCCTCCACGCTGTCCTGGCGCTTCACACGGGGGGGTGCTGGCCTCGCACTCCCAGGCCGAGGTATTCTTCTAAACCCAAACACGGGAAAACCAAAGAGGGGACATGACACACTTGGACATTTCAAAGTGGACAACAAGAAACAAAGATCAACACCACCACTAATTTCCCACCATCAACATGCTCATCGGGACACAGTCTGCAGAATGTTAAGAACATCCTGTTAATCTGACAGGTTTAAAAGTGTCCGTCTCTTAATCTTATGTTTTCATTAATTTTAAGGCTCAAAAGGAATCATGTAACTCTCAGTAATCAAAACATAATTTACCATAATTATGAATTTCCCTAAATCTTTATAATGTCCTATCTAACTTCTATCCAATACAGGAAAATTAAATTAAATGGTTTCTGCTTTCTTTGCACAAGTATTTCCTCATAACTGAGCTCAAGCACTAAACGAACTGTGAGAGGTGCAGAAAGAAGCAGGCGGCGGCGGCCTGGGCATTGGACAGGGGCCCACAGACCTGAGATTGGCTGGAAGCTCGCCCGGCAGCTCGGAGCTCTCAGATACCTCAGGCTTCTCTGGGCCAGAAGGTCCAACTTCTCCTTCTGAAGCGTGACAATCCAGTGAGCAGTTCACGAAGGAAGAAACACAAACAGGTAATCAATACTTGAAAAGACAGCAATCCAATAATCGCAAATATACATAAGCTATATTCATCTCTTATTTTCATCAACATAAAACAGACGATTCATGTCTAGATTCGGTGAAGATCTGGGGAGACGGGGAAATACAAACTGGTTCAATTTCTTAAGAAATGGAATTCAAAAGGTAGGTTCATCCAGTCAAGCAATTTTACATAAAGAAAATACAACCTGACAGGGACGGACGCGTGTGATCCGTGTGTCCAGATGTTCCCCACCCACCACCCGTGTTAGTGTCAACAGGGGGTGACGTCAGCAGACCCTCGGCATAAAACAGTGTCACCGTCCTAACACGTAACTGAGGATAGTAACGTATTTAATCACACACACACTCACACACACACACTCACACACACACAATGGGGGTTCTAGATGGACATTCATTTAGATTAGAAACAGTGTTTTTCGCTTCCTTCTTGATATCTTTCTGCATTTAAAAAACTCTACTTTGGGTATGTGCCAAATGGTTTTTATAATCTGAGTAAAGCTTTCTTCATTTTAATAAAAAGATTAAATTAGTTAAGTAACAACCCCTAACTACTAAGGCACTTAAATTTACTCCTGCATTTTAAGTAAAAGGGCTTTGTATTTTAGAAAATAGGATAAATCAGACTTTGAATTTAGAAATACACGTTTTATTCTCAGAAGTGAAATACATTCTTTTGGAACATAAGATACATAAATTAAATCTTAAAGTAATATAGTTATGTTTCCCTAATTTACTTCACTAACTCAGTGTGTAAAACAAATCTGAGAGTACATGTTAGTATCTACACACACATGCAAAATCTGTATCAAACACCCAGTTCAGGCCGTTCCTCACCTGCATCACTAGGAGAGTCACCTGCAAAAAAAAAAAATAATAATAATGAGGTACATCAGAAAAACGACTTCCATGTTGGTAAAGCTCAGTGCATTAAATAGCAGGACTATGGAAAAACACAGACCAAGTAACAGTGGACACCTGTCAGGGAACACAGAGCCATTCCTAGTGTCCCACTGCCAAGACTTTATTTTCAAAAATCGAAAGTCAGAGAACAAAGCAAACTATGAATTTTAAAATGCTATTAATGAAGAGAGGCAACCGGAGTATGAAGAGAGTGGGTCACAGACACAAATGAGAGAGATTTGAGATGAGGCAACAGCTGGTAAGCCAGGGAGCGTGAGGGACGAGGAGGTGTGACGCCCCTTCCATGACGGGGTGACAGCGAGCTGGACCCTCCCTCCCGAACTCATCAGCAAGGGTTCTTCCATCAGCTCCTGAACGAGGACATTTCTCCAGCTCCCCATGGCCTACTTCCTTCTTCAAGTGCTATGTTTTGGGGACAAATGGGACGTACGTGGCCACAAGGACATGGGCGGGAGAGCACTGTGGGGGGATGGATTTAAAGTCCCAAGAGGATACTCTGCATGACACACTTGAGACACAGGACCAAACCCTCAGACACACCAGGATGGCACAGGTCCAAGTCAGAGCCAAGGACCCCGGGGAGCTGCCAGGCATCCCCCATTAACTACAAGCCCACCTCCACACAGGGACCTATCCCACACATGAGGACCAGGTCCAGGGCTCCCGAGGGCACACGGCACTCCTCAGACACCACAGTCTGTCTGCTGAGGTGAACTTCAGATCTCTGTTTACTAGTCAAAGACTGACACAAATGGTGCCCCAAAGAAGGTGACTCTGGAAAGAAGAGCCAGGCCTATGGGGCAAGGGGAAGTGGTAGGCCCTGCAGGACCTCTGGGTATGGGACACAGGAACCTCCCAGAGGGCACACCGCACAGAGCAGAGAACGGCCCAGCACCCACAGAGCCTCACAAACTGTGGGTTAGGAGGGGCCTGGAAATCATGTTTCCAGACAGCGCTACTATAAGGATGGGGTGACAGCAAGGACTGGAGCTCGACGCAGGGACAGCACTCCCCCAGGGCCAGAGCAGCTAGCAGCAGAGTCTCTCCTCAACGCCACGCCATCTGGAGTGTGCTTGACAGAGCCCAGCATCTGGCAGCCAATGTGCGGCATGGGGCCCTGGATTCCAGACCCTGGGGCTCTCTTCCAAGCTCCTACCATCAGTGTTGGGGGTGCAACTGCTGGATCTCAGGGCCGACACCCAAAGGGAGAGTGTGCACAGCGAACCCCCCTGTCACAGATGGGGTCTCCCACCCTTTGGCAAGGGCTCCTGCCCCCCAGACACTGGGGTCTTCTCTGGACCCTTCACCAGTGCAGCCTCTTTCCAGCAAGGCATGCAGGCCCTCTTTCCCTCGCCCTGGAAACCACACCCTAGGCCACTCATGGGCCATCTCTGGCACAACCCTTGCCCGAAGTACCCCGGAACCTGCCCGTCCCCCCATCTCCCACTCCAGCCCAGGCTGCTAAGGCTCCTAAACTAACGTAATGCATATGGGACAAAGCTTCCTGCGGGGGCTTTCCCTGCCCCCATGCCAGGGCGACATCCCTTGAGGCCTGGGCATCCTCCAGGCCGGCTCTGCCCACCAAGGCAAACACACCGACAGGCGCTGGCCCCGGGGTGCCACACACTGGGCCACCAGGTGCCAGCACCCACCACGACTGCCAGGAGCTCCGGGGCCCAAATGTGTCCTTCCCCACAGTGTTAAGTGCTGGGAACGATGGTGCCAAAAGCAGAATGTCACCTAGGCACAGCTGAAGAAACCCAGAGAACGTTACAGAGAGAAACACTGGGTCAGGACAGTGTTTCCAGCTGCTTCAGAGTCCTCCCTGAACAAAAAATGTGGGGGTGCATGGCTCGGCCCATGGGCCTTCCCAGAACAGACCCCGAAGCTTGTGTCCGGGGCCTCTCACCACTGCCGGGCTTCACACGTGACCTCCACGAGAGCACCAGGGACCTGGGAGGGGCCAGGGCCACCACAGCAGGACTGCATGCCCTACCCTGGCTGACGTAAGACAGCACAAGGGGGTCACTTGCCACATCTGGTCCTGCTGGTGTGAAGAACCAGGGCCTGGACCCCATGGCAGAGAGGTGCCCCCAGCGTGCAAGTGCAGTGGCTTGGTCTCCCTCACAGGGAAAGGGACAAAGACAGGGCATCCTTCTTACCTTTCTGCTTCACTGCTGGCTCAGGCTCAACATTCTCCCGCCACACACTCGCTGAGTTATCATCTGAAACACTAGCTGAGTTAGTATTAGCTTCTTTTGTTCCTGACAGAAAACAGTGTAAAACGCATCAGGACAATGTCCACGGCAGGCTGGTCCTCTAGGCTTTGACCGCAGAGAGCACGCCTACTTGTCCACGCCTTCCTGCACTGCGAGCTTACACACACCTGACCAAAGAATGTTCCACCCAGCTGCGGCTGTGGGATCAGAAGAGGAAAGGGGTGCCCGGAACAGGAGAAGGTCCCAGGCTCATTCAGCCCAGGAGGAGGTTGGGATCCCCAAAGCCAAAGCAAACTGGTCCCTCTGCCCCCATTTCCAGAAACTTCCTGATGCTACCTGTCTCCATCCACCACCTCCTCACTACAGCCAGGCCCAGATGAGAAGCTGCAGATAAGTGACAACTGTAGCAAAGCAGGAGGGAAAGAAAGATTCCTGTGCTACAGTCCACAGTCCTAGACACACTGAAAGCTCCCAAGCCCCCGTGAACTACTAACTAATGTATCAATGTCTATAAAAATCAAAAAAATATCAAATACCCAAGAAATAATACCTTTTTAATATTAAAAATAAAGGAGGGGGCAGGGAGGTGCTGGAGGAAAAGATTTTTAATGTGGTAGGACTCAGGGTAAAAACTAATCCACCACTAAAGGACCCCCACTCTAAAATTAAACAAGGAGAAGACAAAAATAAAATTCAAAAAATGTTCCCTTTCCTAAAATGCAATCTTATAATTTCTTAAAAGTATTCAAATAAACAGTTTATATCAGAATCAATAGAACTTCACAGAGTAGATGACATAATTTTCTAAGGAAATTTTTTTCAATCTATAAAAATGATCATTTAAACAGTGATTCAAGTAATTATTTATGAAATCTAAGGTAGCCAAAGAATCAATATGAAATACTAAATTCTAAAACAAATGTAAAAATAAACATAAGCTTGGCAACTGTATTTTAAAAGAAAACATGCAAGAATTTTAGATTGTGACATTTTATTTGAAAGTGTCAAAAATTTCCTACACCGTTCAAAGCCTACCAGCACTATAACTAAATTCCAAATGCAACATCTTCTGTCCAAAGCCCAAGGGGACTGATGACACTCTGCACCATTCCTCTCTTCAAAGGTCTACTGGCACTTTTTTTTGAGAGGCCTATGATAGTCGTTTTAACGTCTTTCCCAATATTCTTAAGTAAGCTTTACTAAAACTCCAATACACACAGAGAAACAGACTATACGTTCTGATAATACCACAATCAATTCCTAATCAGAGGACAGATTAACCAGTCTGCAAAATAACAGCTTTAAAGAAAAGAAATAACACACCCTTAAAAAATAAAAATTATTATGAACTGGCAAAAAAATCTGTTGTCTGAATCACCAGGAATGAATGAACCCATCCGGGAAGGGTGTGGTCCCAGCGTCCTAATTTCCTAGTTTGAGCAGGCTCCTCCCCTCTTCAGAGCCTCGGTTTCCCCCAGTTTATGGCGCTCTGGTAATGGGACCATGTGCTTTATAAAGCAGGGAGCACTGTGCCTGGCCAAGCGCCTGCCTGTCAGTCATCATCCCTGAAACTCACCAGGCAGAGCCCCCCACACCGCCGCAATCCACTTCCCACTCTGCCTGCATGCTGTGCAAATGCTCACAGCACAGGGCTGCTGGTGACATCCAAGTGTAAACGCGAACAGATACCCAGGCCCTACAACAAGGGGCTCCGCCTGGCCCAGCAACCAGTGTGAGCATCCTGTTACGGGACACGGAAGTACTAGTGTAACCAGACAGAACACATGATAAAGGCACAGCTAGCCTACGTAGGGTCAGAGCGAAGCCAGATGAGGCCTTTAGATCAAACAGAAACACGGGGAGAAGCAGGGGGAAAGGAATGTCATAAATGAAGTGACATCACAAGGAAATGGACAAGTGTCCAGAGGGCGGAGCATTCTACAAGGTTGGCCACCTCATCTCTTTCACAGCCAGCGCACTAGACTAAAAAAGTAAGGCGGGAGCGTACAGGGTCAGGGGACTGTGGAGATTCGACTCATTTAAAAAGTAAAAGAATAAAAAACATACAGTGTGCTCATCTTAATGGAATCCTGTTTTTTGTTTTTTGGGTTTTTTTTAAATAACACTTTGGAAACATGAAGATTTTGACACTACCGGAGTAACAGTAACCCTGCTACAGAGAACCACGTGGGGGCGTGTCCCAGCACATCGCTCTTGTTTTCCGAGCTGATGCTGAAGTATTTAAAGTGTCGGGATGTTTAATAGACTTTGAAATCATTCATAAAAATGGCTCTAGACAACGCACATATGATGAGACATGAGAACCGCTAAATCTGTATGAGGGGTCGGAGGGGGTTCAAAGTTCTTCCTACTCCTCTGCATTTTCATAGTAAAAACCTTTACACAACTGGACAAAATGACGTAAGTGACAGAAACCAAGCAAGGTGAAGACACGCGGACGGCACAGCGCTCCAGGAGAACCTGGACCGTCGAACGACTGTAAACAGAATGAGGCTCATCACGCCACAAGCATTCCAAGATGGAGCAGGGAAGAAGTGGCTCATGTTTGAGAAAGAAATGGGTAATTTCCTTATTGAGCTCTTCAGTGTTCCTGAAAAAGGAAGCGCACAAGTGCTCCTGTGATGGCCCTGCAGCCACCGTCAGGCCCAGGGACAACAGGGGCATGGTGAGACTGGTACGCACCAGCTCAAGGTGAAGGGCAAGCAGGGGGAAAGGCTCCCAGACCAGGCCCAGCAGCACTGCACCTGGAAATCACTCAGTGAGAAACTCCGCAGCTGTGACAATTGCCGACAAACCCCGAATCCCAAAGTCAAATGACTGGCAGCACAGGTGACCTCTGTCACTGGCATGACAGTGACTGACAGTGACAACAGGGACCCAGGGCCCAGGCAGTGGCAGGGAGAGGGGAGGAAGCACCAGCGGGTCACAGGACCACCAGGACAGGGTGCAGGACTCCACTCTGACCACCAGATGGCACCAGGCTCCATCCGACTCTCCACCCAGAACCACGCTCCCTGAACACTGAGTGGTCAGTAGTGTCTACAAAGCGAGGGTACTTTGGTAGTCCTGGGTACTACAGTAGTAGTTAGTACTACTGTAGTCTGAGTGGCCTCTGCACTTTATTCTGGATCCACGTTACCATCCCAGGATGCGATGCCTCACCCTGACGTGGGGCTTGCAGTCACTAAACTGGGATCCACGAAGCAGATCTGCCAGGCACACATGCAACATGCCAGCCACTTTGTGGACAGACCTCACTGAGTCTCATGGCAGACGTTTAAATAGCCACTTACCACGAGGTCACTGGGGCTCAGAGGACGTGCCATGAAGCTAGCTCGAGGCCAAGAGGTGGGCAAACGGGAGGCACAGGATCTTCCCACTGGTCTGGGATGTGGGCACATCTGCCCACATGGGCAGCACTACCCAAGCCCCCTCCTGCTGCACAAGGACTACCTGGTACTTCCCCTGCTCAGACCGGGCTGGACCAGCCTGCGGCCCAGACAAGGCCCCCCGAGGAGGACTGCACAGCGCTGCACAGTGCAAGCCCGAGGTCAAGTGAGAACTCATCCTCTGCTCCCATTCGGCACCCCCAGTCCCAGTCACCCCACACTGGTCACCACACACCACTGAGGACCTACATAAACCATGAAAGGCTGACCTGCTCAGAATAAGATCAGTGGGGACCACCTCTCAAGAGGCCCACCTTTCCCGGCGGCCCTGCTGAGCCCAGGGAACACAGGACAGAGCAGCTGTCTGCCCAAAAACACAGCTGCTCTCCAGGGCCCAACCTCTTGAAGGGAAAGCGTGTGCCCAGAAGATGTGCTTCCCATGATTCTAGCTACAGGCACAGAATTTTTGAAAGTCAAAAAGATACGAGTTCAGCCTAGACAAATTCTTATCTTTTCCTGGAGTCAAGATTTACACTCTATTTTCCCCTATATGTCACTCAAGATTTTTAGTATTTCTTAAGAATTTAGTTTGACATCACGGCAAATTCTGCTCTTCATCAAGGATCAGCTCATCTGAAATCCCCAGTCCACACGTCTCACTGTTCCAGGGTGGGGATGCACGCATACCCCTTGCACCGCCTGCCACGGGGAACAACCTCCCCAGCGTGCCCTGGCAACCACCTTAAAATCTTTATTATGGGCATTTTCTTAATACAACACAGCAGAGCAGAATGGGAAAGCTGAACGACCATTTCTCTCTCTGACCATCTACATCACCGTGCGGAATCCCAGCAGCAAGATAAAGCAAGCATCTTTATCTAGATGCGAAAGTAAGTCACACCTAGAAAGGCACGTAAGAGTTAACTAAAACTGAGTTAATCTTTCTCATATAATTTAGGAAATTAAAGCAAGTGGTGTATCAAGTCATTTCTGATCTTCACTATCCTGTGGTTAGAAGAATAAAAAAATATCCTTTTTTTTATTGGGGCGCCTGGGTGGCTCAGTTGGTTACACCACTGCTTTCGGCTCAGGTCATGATCCCAGAATCTGGAGATCAGGTCCTGCATCGGGCTCCCAGCTTCATGGGGAGTCTGCTTCTCCCTCTGACCTTCTCCCCTCTCATATTCTCTCTCACACTCTCTCTCTCTCTCTCTCTCTCTCTCTCAAATAAATAAAATTTTAAAATATATATACAATTACATTGAGAGGTAAATATTTCATATCAAGGTGCTGAGAAATATAAACGAAAGAGTATCTTTTTCTTACCAATTTCTGAAGTCGTAGTTTCCTGATCTGCTTCATGATTTAATCCAGATACTACAGAATCTAACATTTTAGCTGAAATATTATCTTCCTTTCTTCCTGATGTAAAATGGTGACAGATTAAAACACTGCAGAGGTTTTTGCCTATGGGAGGCTCTGGTCAGGATAAATGGGTTTACACCAGGCTTACACTAGCTGGTCCCCTCCAGGGTCCCAGGACACGCACCTGACCACCGCTCCTCCCTTCCAGGGCTCTCTGACCAGGACCACGTGCTGGACCACCCCTCACCATGGGTCCTGGCTGGCTCTGGGGCTCACTGTCTTGACGATCCCCTACACTAACTTCACATGGATCTTCATGTGACAGCAGGAAACACCATCATGGAAAAACCCCCCAACTTCTTTGATTTTACCTTTAGTCGCCCCAACTCCCTCCCTGAAGAGCAGGCCTCCAGCTCCACTCTTGTCTGGACACACTGCTGGGCCATGCGGTGGTGGGTGCCTCATATTCCACGTGTAAGAATTCCTGGCACTGCCCCCCAGCCCAGCAACAGGCTTCCCCCAAAGCCTTTGCACTCCAGCAACAGCACCGCCTGGGTGCCCAGACCCCTCCACGGGTCTTCTCGCCATGCCCTCTCCTCTAACAAGGGCCACCTAGTCACAGCGACTCCATATATCCCTTCCATTGAGCACATCCTCAGCAGCGACGCTCAGGTCCCGGCCGTCAGTCTCACTGGGACACGAACTGCTGTCCGGCCTCTATGCCTCCACACTCTGAAAAGGGGATGCTTCTAACACCTGTCCAGTCATGCCTCAGTCCTGCTTACTGTCCTCCGAGGATGTCTACTCACGCTCACTACAAAACTCTCAGCCTGCGTGGCCCAACGCCTCGGGCCTGCCTATTCCTGCAGACCCTATCGCTTTGCCTCCCCGCCCAGCCTCACTGCCAGGCCTCCTGCCCTCCAACAGGCAAGGGTGTCCCCAGCTCAGGGCCTCTGCCCCAGCCTGGACACTCACAGGTCCTCCTTCCCCCAGTCAACTCTGTCCAGACGTCCCCTCCCCAGAGCCTCTCCGCCTGTGCACCCGCCCCTACATTTGACATCAGAAGACTCGTTGCTAACGTGGAAGGGCACACCCTGTGGTCTCCTGATTATCTGTCCAGTCCCTCCACACTGTGCACTCAAAAGGGCAGGTCCTCCATCAATATCCGCGGAACAAAGAAGGGCAGACCTGAGTACACAATCCCACTCGTGACTGATACGTGCTAGGCTGGTGGCTGGGGTGGCCCCGCGCCTCAGCAGGCAAGGCTCACGGCCCTTCTGCTTCCCCCGCTCCGCTCTGGGCCCAAGCCCCACGTCCAGCAGGGCACCCCCCACAGGGCTCCACCTGCTCAGTGGTCAAAGGGAAGCAAGGTGCCGACTCCCCAACAGTCGCAGCCCCCACTGGGGCCTGCATCGTCTTACCAAGCTGCTTCACGGTGTGCTCCTTCTTAGCTTTGCTGTAGGAAGAGTTATGTTCTTTTTCAGGGGAAAGACTATTTTCACTGGCTCTAGAGCCCCTTCTTCCTGATACGAAATTGCATAATGAAAGTACGTATTAAGCTTAATTCATAATGCTGTACAGTATACTCAGTCTTAGTACCTTATTCTGCTATAATTGCCACTTAACAACAAATCGAAAGTATTGTACTTTTGAGAAGAATGTTTTTTGGATTCTATAGAGATCCTAGAATAGTTTTAAGATTCTAAATATGTTTAACAAACAGGATACCCCACACTCCAGTAAATGCAAGGCTGATCCCCTCGGGCTGCGGGGTGCCTCCCTCTCCTGCCAGATGCTGGACAGTCACCCAAATGCGACCCATTAAAGTCAGGCAGAAGGTCAGGGTGGAGCACGGGCTGTGCTGGGTGCGGCCGCACGGTGAGGTCTGCGCCCAGCTCGCCAGCGGGGCGGAGCCATCAGCTTGTTGGCTCAGGAAGGCTAGTATCAGGAAGCCTGCAAACCTCGGTGATCATCTCTCTTAGTGGCCACAGAAAAGGAGCCCATGGGCAGCCCGCTCGCCAGCAAACTCAGATGCACATGCCAAGATACTGGAAGAGCAGACAATAGCAACTGTCCGCTTACCAAAAAACACAATTCAACAGAAGAGCTGCGGGCTACGATTGAACACAAGGCGAGGTCTGCAGTGCAGGGACCACAGTCCACGACGCTTCTACACTCCAGCAGTCACCAGAGAAATGGACAAGGAGAAGGAGATGCCTCTTTGAAACCAACCAAAACCAAACTGTCGTGATCCATGACGAACAGACACAGCCCCACACGTGCACGGGGAGACGCCCATACTAACTTGGGGTCAGAAATATCCGATCTTCCCCAAATCCAGAAAGCCTAAGTTTAACATGGGTCCGACACAAACCTGACCAGTTTATTAGTTCTGTTTATGGGAGGGGAGATTCTTTGGCTCAATGGTTTTAAAATAATCTAGAAGAATAAACACATAAAATGGCCTCAAATTAATGATTCTAGAACACCTGGTGAGTTACTCTGAAAAAATAAACGTCACCTTATAGCATGAATTAAAATAATAAATAACTAAAAAGACTAAATACAAAAATGCATGACAAAACACAAATCTTCATCTCTCAAATCTCTGGATAAACCACCAAAAAAAAAAGACTGGTCACTTCCAGTGCATAAAAATTAAACACTCAGGCAAGTCAGGAAATAACATAATGAGTAGAAATGAACTTGGGGGTGGGGGGAACACTCATGTAAAAACTGGCAGATGTTCTTAACATACAGTGAGCTTATGCAAATTAAGAATAACACTGCAATGGCCAGCACAGCAGTGAGGAGCCCTGCAAAGGACAGACAAGCCCGAGGAGTCAATAAAAATTACGAACACACATAAAAATGCACAATCTCCCTAGCAATTCAAAAGAGCTAGCACCACTCATTTTTCACCTCCCAGACTCAGCAAGCCTTGGAAACCGTGGGAAAGGCGTAGGGCAGAGGGCTCGGTCAGCATACCCCACAGCCGACACGGCCAATGTCCCTGCCCTCTGTGCCAGGCCTCCCTGGGGAACCTGTCCCTGGAGATGGCCCGCCGAGGGAAAAGCTCATGAAAGCATCATGTACTATTCTGAAGGAGAAATTCCAACCATGGTTCTCCTGCCATGCTGCTCTAACAGTTTAGAAAAAGGGCCCCATTTCAGATATTACCACTGCTCAGAGTAACCTCACGCTTCATCTGAAAACCTGCAACAGCACTAGCCCCCGGGCAGCACTTGCCTGCCCTGGACGGACCCTCCTGTCCTGCGTGCTGGCTGGGCTGAACTGGTGCGACCCTCAGGCAAACCCCTGGCCAGGCATGCTCACTTCAACCTCAGCTCTTAGGAGCACAACTCCCAGAAGATGGGGCCTGCTGTTTTGAAACGCAGGAACATCACCTACAAGTGATCCCCCCACCCCAAGTCCTTGCTGGCCACTGAGTCAGGACTGCGCTGAGCCACCACTTCCAAGACACGAGTCAACAAAACAAGGGTGACTGATGGCTATTTCTGGAAAGTTACGGTTCGATCGCATCTTTTAGATCGTGACAGATCTCCAGCAAAGAGGGGGTACTCTGCCGCTGGTGTCATGCGCTCACACACGTACACATGCACGCACGTGGGTGTGTGTGTGTGCATGTGGGAGAGAGCGAGAAAGAGAGACATATCTTCGTCCTTTTCACATAGTCTTTGCTCCCCCCGATGGCAGATCTGCATTCGGACCACAGGGCGGTTCTTCTACCAGATACTATGATTAATACCCATATTTTCAGCTCCTTATATGATAAATCCTCAGTACCTTCCACTTTGGATCTCCGTTTTGGTGCTTTCGTTGCCACTGACCTGGACGCTCTAGTGGAAATCTCGGTCTTAAAGAAAGGAGAACAAACAGAATTAGTTGAGGCACGACACAGCAGTGCGTCGAGATTTACTAGGTAGACGCTGCTCGAGGAAGAACAAAGAGGCAACAGGACACACCAACCACTAACTCCGCACAGCTCAGCAGCCCAGACCTGAGGGTGAACAGAGGACACTCAGGCCTCCCTTATTCTAAGTTCAGAAATCCTTCTTCCTGCAAAGCTCTCCAAAGCCCAGCAACCCGCCAACCACACTGAGTATGGTCTCACCGGATATGTTTATGAGGACCCCATCTCCCTTGCTATCTGCTAATCATTCGCATGCATCGGGACAGCTCTGGGTGCAAACACACACGTGTTCAAACCGAGCACACAGCAGCCCTAAGGTTTTGCTCAGCCTGCCATAACGCCCTCCTAACTGGCCTCCCAGCCTCTGTGCCACACCCGGTCCACCTTCCCTGCAGCTGCCTGGACACGTCCCCAGAAGTGCAAAGTGCTTTAGGGAAGTTGGCCTGAGTAGAACCTCCAGGGAGACGATCTGCTCCGGCCACAGGACATGCGCCACCAGACCTCACACAGGCAAAACAGAACTCGGAGGGATCCCTCCGGCAGCCTAGCTGTCCCAGCCTGCCTGGAGACTGGATCCTCACCCAGACCCTCTCCCAAATGACTCCCGCATCCCTCTGTACCCCACATCACACCCGTCAAATAAGTATATAAGGGAAGCCCAGAGCCCAGCATAGAAGAGCCTGCACCACATCCCCTCCACCCCAGGGTCCCCACAGACTAGAGGAGACCATAGCATGATGTCACCACGTCAACACAGCCATGGTTCATGTCTCTGGAAGTTATTCTTCAAAGTTTACCTCTGTCTCAGCTTTGGAGTCTTTCAAAGATCCATCTGGCATCTTTTTGGACACCTCCCCTGAGCTCGAGGACTGTTAAGAAAAAAATTCATCATATTCTTAGAATTACTCAAATCTGTGACACCTAAAACCACATCGAGGTGCAAGATGTTTCTTGCTGAGCAGCAGTAAGAGCACCCTTCCCTACGAGCATCCGTCCCCCTCCAGGCCTGCGCGTCCGCGGCTGGTACGTGGCCTGCTTCTGCAAGGGCCGTCCGGATCATTCCCAGGAGGGCAGGCTGGGGTCAAGGGGGTTGGGGCAGCACCTCCTAGGAAACTCTGGGACAGCGGGACCCGTGGGACGCCCACGCCAGGCCAAATCTCTTGTCCAGCCTGCTGTCCCCTTAGGGGGAGGGGCACGGCACCACCCGCCAGACACCTGGTCCTTCACCACAGGAGTCCCGAGGGATGCCCAGGCCCCGCCCCTCCCCACGCTGCTGACCTTGAATCTGTCCAGACCTCCACTCCCTCCTTCCTGGCAGCTGGAGACCAAGAGACTTTCACACAACCCTCCAGAGACACTCTGTAACATACTGTCCCCATGAAAACAGCCATGTGCAGGGCCAGCCCCTAACAGAGACCTGAGCCACCTATAATGAACCCAAAAGTAACTTGCACATTTAGAAAACACGGCAACCGAACAAAATTTCTGGCCAACCACAAATTTACCTGAAAATTTAATTAAGCAAAAATTACAGTAGTCGGAGATCTTGTATGTATCTGCTGGCACCCACAAGACCTAGAGAGGAGCCCTGAGGCTCTGTACATTGAGGCACGCCCAGGAGCACATACACAACCGAGGCAGCTTGGAAGGACTGCTCCTGTAGCTACAGGGTGGGCCCCCCCATCTTCAAAAAGCACCCAGATGCACACATGCAGCCAGAGGCTCAGAGCCCCTGAAAAACCGGTGTCAGTCTGGGTTTCTACTGGGAATGCCTGAGTGGCATCATTTTACCATAGCGCTGGAGAAGCAGAGTCCCCATCGCACTGCGACAAAGACAGGAAACACCTTTGAGAATAACACAAACTCTGTCTTAAAGACAGAGGTTTTCAAGCAGGACTTTACCTTTTTCTCGGGTTTGTCATGCTCTCGGCTCTTCTCCCTGTCAGGGTCCCTGGAGCGCTCCCCATCCTTCAGCTTCCGCCTGTCCCTGTCCCTGTCCCTGTCCCGGGCCTTGTCTCGCTCACGCTCTCTCTCCCGGTCTTTCCACCTCTCTTTCTCCTTTCCTCCCTCGTTCCTTCTCTCTCTCTCACGGTCCAGATCTTTGTCGCGGTCTCTGTTGCCTCGGTCTCTGTCCTGCTTGGCCCGGTTTCGGGCTCGTTCTCTCTCCCCATCTCGGTGCTTGTCTCGTTCAGGATCTTTATGTCTCTCCCGGTCGTTCTCCTTCGTCTTCTCCTTCTCTTTGTCCTTCTCTCTTGCTTTGCTTTCTTCCTTCACTTCTTCTTTCTGTTTCCGATCTCTGCTTGTACTCCTCTCATTTATTTCAGAGTTCCTTTTATCCTGAAAAGAAGGTCAAACAACAATATCACTTATAAACGTCTTTACCTGAACTCTAGAAAGACTCATTGTTTTCAAATATGTGCAACCTGCATCTCACCTCTTTATCTTTATGAACTCTGGGCTCTTCTTCTTGTGCATTCTTATTGTCCAATTCCTGAGATTTTGACATCAGTGAGGACCTTCCCTTCAGATCCCCCTTCTCTCCAGCTAACACTCTCTTCACCGCCTCATCGCTGGAGAGCTTGTGGTCCAAACGGGAGGAAATGGAACACAAGGTGAAAACGAGATCAGCACAAGAGACTAATGCAAGTGTCCACATTCGTGGAGAGTTCACTAAACACGTTAAACATGTGGACGTGAAAGTCAAAGGATAAGCTACTAGAAGGAAATGCTGTTATCAGTCACCAAGTATACCACTCCGGACATGACCAGCAGAGTTGACCCAAACTAAGCGAATCCCACTTCAACCCCCCTTCAACTGGCTCAAGTGTAGACATGCACATCATTGGAGGACAACACGGCTACCGCGCGTTGACTCCACAGATGCCACATGGTTCCCACAGGATCGCAAAGGCCCAGCACTGAAAGGGTCTCCCGGAATGATCTGACTCAAGCTCGACTGAACCCCAAAACCCTCCCACGGCCTCCCTGACTCCACGCAGAAGCTTCCAACACTTCCGGGCAGGCATCCTTCTCACTGACATTCTCACTCGCTCCCCAAGGATACACGGAGCGACCATCACACCAGGCACCAGATGTCATGCTGAGGACACACTGGGTTTCAGAGGAGAGGACAGAGGCAGCAGCTAAGCACCAGTGTGCCTACCCAGCCTGGGAGAGAGGAAAGGCCAGGGCTGCAGGAAACAACCTATCCACCACCACAGCCGGACAAAGAAACAAAGGGCCTGACCAAGGCCAGGGACCTCAGCGTCCAGGCGTGGGTGTGGGAGCTGAGAGAGGAGGGGAGGGGGCAGCAGCAGCTCGAGGACCCTAGTGAGCCAGGTCACAGAGCTGGCTGTGCCCACAGGCAACAGGAAGCTGGCAAAGGATTAAGCAGGGAATATGGGAGTCAAAAGTGTTTTGAAAAAGAAGTAACAGGAAGGACGCAGGGGCAGGGACTGGGGACGAAGTCAGGGCACGGGCGAAATCAGCTGTGTGCCTCCGAACCTGAGATCTGGATGCAGATCAGGGTGAGACGCACTGGAGGCCTCCCTGATGCCACCAGCTCCCATCCCCAGCCCCACCCCCACCCCTGCAATGCAGGCTGAAACCCACCCTCTTGCCTATTTTGGAAACGTGGAAGGTTAGCCCCAGCCCACAACCCATCAGGTACATGAAGGGCCAGACTAGCTCTGTCCTCCGACTTAGATCCCACAAAGAAGAAAGGCCCTGGAGATGCCCAGCTGGCATCGCTAGTAAGCATGGCCTGGGCTGGATCAAAGCAGAGAGGCCAAGTCTCCAAACCAAAATGAGGATCTCAGGAAATAGCAAATCAGTCCCTATGTAGTGACACCAGCTTTCTCTGAAGGCAGCGCAGCTCCACTGTTAGTAGCCAGAAGGGAGAGGATCGGAAAAACAGAGAGCAGAGGGGAGAGAGAAGAGAGGAAGGAAGGAATGGAAGGAAAGAAGCAGACACCAGAGGCGCAAAGGCAGACAGAGTTCAGGGCCATGCCATAAGCCCCGAGGAAGCAGCCCAGCAAGTCATCCAGCCCCCAGCCCCTGCCCTGGAAAGAGGCTCTAAAGGAGAAAGCCGGCAGGGCTTGGCCGCTGGGCATGCCACCCCGACCCCAAGAGCCAGTGTCCCTGAAGTTCCCTCATTCATACTTAGCACCTGAAGAACCTGGTATGGCAGACCTTTGTTTAACTGTATAGTTTTGACTCAGTCCTCCCAGAACTCTGAGGCTCCAAAGCACTGCGCTTGGCAGACACCACCCAGGGCTCTCTCCTGAGACCCTGCCCCCCACCCTGCGGGCACCTGTCACCCCGCCTTGTCTCTCAGGACTGCTGCATCTGCGCTCCGGCCCCTCCGCGTTACCTTGCTGAGACAGCATCTGCCAATTCTCTGCAGCAGCTCATTTGTTCTTTCAGGCTCGTGCCCGGCCACGATCCGCGCTGGCTTTGCTGACAGTGGCTCTCCCGAAACCATCACCACCACGTCTATGGCCTTCTGAAGGAAGCTAATTTTTGCATCTTTATCCTGAAAGATTTCCATTTAAAATGCAAATGAAAAGCCCATCCAAGAAAGTCTCCATCATCTTCAGTTTGCTTAACAGGCACACTTACTATTTAAAGCAGGTCAGATGTGGAAATATTCACTCTTTGTAACAAAAGAAAAACAAATAAAGCATTTAGTTTGAGGTGGGAGGCTAGCAAGGACCTTTAATACACTAGTTCCCTTTCTCAGTGGATAAAATTAGCAGGATATGCAGCTGTCAAGAATAAGAAAATGAAATGAGAAAGAGTACAGCACAATTCACGAATTAATCAACCTTATATTTCAACACCCATCAGCATATAAACGATACACATCCACTATTAGGATGAGGGGTGCCCCCCACCCCCCGGCCTACCTTAACATTATCGGACTTCATCTCAGCGTCTGTGTAGAGGCCCTTCATGAAACCGGTCATCCTAATCACCTTCAAAAGATTAAGGCCGTGGTCAGCACCTATCACGGCAGCCTCTGTGTCAGCCTCAGCCCCGGAACCACACACTGTCAGAGCTGCCGGAGTCTGTCCATATCCTGGATTTAACTCCCTCCCACGTAACTCAGCCAGCTTTTGAGTGTCTACTGTCTGGGAGACCTTACGCAGGCGGAACCCAGCCTGGAAGTGTGGACGGGTAAACACTGCAACAGACCTGCAGAGTGCTGAGGGAGCACAGGATCAGTCCCTGGTCCGAACACAGGAGGGGCCAGGGTGTCAGGGGAAGTTTCCCAGAAGACGCTGGATCTACACTGAGCCCACAGGCCGAGTGGCAGGCGGGGGTATTTAGGACCCATATGCCAGGCTAAACAATCCCTACAAAAGGTCCTGGGCCCAGAAGGTCCTGTTCAAGAGAGCAGAACAAGTTCAGCGCAGGAGGAGTCTGAGGCCAGAGTCTGGCAGGGCCAGTGTCAGGCAGGGCCTGATCCAGATGGCTGTCAAAGCCACCAAGAATACGGACTTTCACCTAGGACCCCGAGGAGGCCCTGAATGGTTCAGAGGCAGGGGGATAGCATCTTACGAGGGTCACTTAGGCCCAAGGGCAAGAATGGACTTTGGAAAGAACAGGAATCTCTCAGCGTGGGTTTTGAGTCTGGACGGAAAGGTCTTTCTTCTCACTCACTTTACTACAACAGGGGGATGCTCTGTGCAATTGTCACTTTTGTTTTCTCCCTTCCTGTCCCTCCCCTCAGTCAACCTGTAGCTCCCCATTACCCTGAACCAGCTTTAGGGGTGGTGATTTTCCCTGTTCCTCCCCATGCCCACAGATAGCCAGGCTCCTCGTTCTCTCAGGCCAGGGCTTTTCAAAATGCAAGCAGTCCCTGTAAAGTCAACAAAATGAGTAGCAACAAGCTTTTTTTTCTTTTCTTTTTTCTTTTTTCAAAAAATAAACCAGAAAGGAAAGTGCCAGCTGCCCTGTATGCAGGAAGTATGAATATACCTACATGTGTGTGTTGTGGGTGGAATTAAAGCTCATGTATTCATGCAAGTCATGTTCGTTGGAAAATGGACAGTCCCATGCTAACATGAGGCAATTTCTCTGAGACCAAGCACACCTCACTGGTAAGCTGGCTCTCACTCTCATCAACTACCTAAGAGCCGTGCTATCATTTCTCCTGAGAAGACAGATGGAATATTAAGAGTATCCTACACTTAATACTCCTAGAGCCTTTTCATTTTGTCTCTTCTGAGGTTTTCCTACACTGCTGGCAAGCAAAGGGACCAGAAACATTAACCTTACAAGATCAATGCTTTGATTTATGAAAGAAACAGTTTAGCTGTGGCTAAATTACTAATGTGGTGACTTGTGAAAACAACAGTCAGAGTTAAGATTTTCAGAAGGCTCTTTACCTCTTACATGAAAATGCTTTCCAATATGTCGATCATTCTAAAATCCTTAACAAGCAGGTGACAATTAATGTATTTACCTTTCCATAAGCAGAGAAATTCATTTCAGCATTAGATTAGGAAAAAACCATGAAAGAAAAGCAGACCACTTGTTCTTAACTGCCTCCACACAACCTGGCTGCTGGTTCACCAAGTCAGTTCCTGCCTGAAAGTCCCTCCCCCTTCCCCATTTCGAGGCACTCTGATGTTCCAGGAGCCCAGTGCCACACCAAGACCCACAGGAGGAGGCCTATCTCCGCCGCCTGCCCCCCAGCTCTCCACTTCAGTGGGGAGACAGGACTAACAGAAGATAAAAGCGTGAGGGTATGGTAAGTGCTGCAGTCACTGCTAACTCACTTCTTCCCTTCCGGGTTCAAGGGCACTACCTGCCTACTTCGAAAGTAATGCAGCACACAGCCGTGTCCCTTCCCCAAACACCGTCTAGTGACAGGTGGAAGTATTGCCCCAGCTACAGGAGGCTAGACAAGACAGCGCTGGGATGTGTGTGGGATTCCAGAGAGTTCTAAGCAGTTAGGGTTTTCAACACAGAGGCACACATTATAAACTAAGTAGAGGCAGCAAATGATAAAGCAAAGCTTGTGGAGAATAATACACCCAACCTGTTAGCAGGAGTAAGAAATGAATTTTGAGGACCAATATGTGGAACCCTTGGAAATCTGCAACTTCAGCCTGACTCCTAACTCCCAGAGACCAGAGACCACACCCAAGTCCCTGAGTTCAATGCTCTTAAGTGCACCATGGAGATGAGTTACCAGGAGCCTAGACAGCCTCCTTCAACAAAGAATGTGTGCTGTGCACCTTCTGTGTACCTTACCCAGTTCAGCTAATCCAGGATATGGCAACAAACAAGTACAGTCTCCATCAGCCAGTAATTCACCTTCCACTGGGAAAAAGTTACAGACGACCAATCTCAACGGAGGTGAAGCTGTGCCCTTCATCGGCCAACATCAACCTGCTCTCGTACAGTTTTCCCCTGTGGGTCTCACTACAACCACGTTCAGCAAGTTTTTCCACGGGTATTTATTAAGCATCCTAAATGTGATCACCATGGACAGAAGTATGTAGAAAAACTGAGGATATGAGGATAAAAAAATAAATCACTTAATTCCCCAACGATTTTTGATCACCTCTCATGAGCTAGGCACTGAAGGGGGGAAAAGAATCCCAGAAACGACTCTGCCAGGCACGTGTTAGAAGAGTGCTAACAGGTACAAGGGTAGTCTGGAAAGAAAGAATGCTCAAGGAGCCAGAAGAGCCCGCCCAGGAGAAGAGGTGAGAAGGGGAGAGCAGAGATGAGGGCAAGGAACTCAGTACAGTGGCACCACAGAACTGGGCCTAGTGGATGCTCCTCTGGCAGGACCTGCGCTAGGCTATAGGAGGTCGGTATTTGACGTCAGCCCTGATTCTGGCCCCGGCCCGGCCTGCACCCCACAACTGGGCCCTGACCTCCACTCCCGGCTCGGACCCCAGCCCGCACCCCACACTTGGGCCCTGACTCCCCGCCCTGACCCCCGCACCCGGGCTCGCCCTGCCCCAGGACGTCTACCCTTGACAGCCCCGCCCGCTCCTGGGCCCTGACCCGCACCTGGGGGCCCACTCCGGCCCGCACTTGGGTCCTGAATTCCAGCCCTGACCCCGACCCCGGGGCCCCGACCCTCAGCCCGCACCCCGGCCCCCGGCCCGCAACTGGGCCTCGACCCCCACCCGGGTCCCGACCTGCACCTGCACTGGCCCGCGCCTGGGTCCCGACCCCCACCCGGGACGCTGACCCCCGGCCCGCACCCGGCCCCCGGTCCCGGCCCGGCACCCACCTCCGTGATGATGTCGTGCAGGTAGCGGAACGGGGGCTTGATCAGCAGCTTCTCCGTCAGCGGCGGCCTCCGGATCACCTTCCCCAGGGCCTCCTGCGTCCGCTTCACCACCGCGGCGTTCATGGCGGCGCCACCCGCGCCCGCGCCCCCGCCGGCCAGCCGAGCCTAAGCCGCACTGCCCGGCCGCCGCCGGCCCCGCCGGCCCCGCCGCCGCCGCCCGCTCCGGCCTCGACGCGCCGCTCGGGCTCGCATCCCACAGTGCACCGGAGTCGGCCGCGGCGCATGCGCGGGGCGCCGGGCCCCCGTCGCCAGGGCGTCGCGACCTTAGCAACGGACGCGCGGCGGCTCCCCGCCCCGCCCCGGCCGCCAGGCGCTGAGAGAGGTTTGTACCCAAGGTCCTGCCCGCGCCTGGCAACCGGGACCAAGCCACGCCCTTATTCATCTACCAGGTGTCGCTGATTCCGGGCACCTGTCTTCCACCCACCCGGCACAGGCTAGCCGCGGAATTCCTTCTGGCGATTTGGAGGCTTTATGACCTGTTTCTCGTTCTTTTTTTATAAAAAAGTGCCGATTGCCCCTGCATCTTCAAATCTTTTTTTTATTGACAAATAATTGAGAGAGGGGACATTATCTTCAAGTGTACGACATAATTATTTGATCTTTGTGAATATTGCAAAATGACCACAATGAGTCTAGTTAACATCCACCACCATAGTTACAAAAAGTTTTTATTGTAATGAGAACTTTTAAGATGTAGTCTTAGCACCTTTCAAATATGTGACACAATATTGTTAACTACAATCATCTTGCTGCACCTTATATCTCCATGACTGACTTTATAACTGAAAAGTTACACCTTTTGACCCCTTTCATCCATTTCGTTCTTGTAATGGTATCTTTATAACTTATTAACATTTATTTTTAGCGTTTTCAAAGCTCTTCATTCTTTGCATAGACTCGAATTTCCATGTGGTATCATGTTCCTCTTGTCTGAAGAACTTCCTTTACTAATTTCTTTTCGCAAAGGTCAGCTGGCTATGAGCTCTGTCGCCTTCCTTTGTCTGAAAGTGTTTATCACACCTTCACATTTGAAAGATTGTTTCACAGCATTTGCAAGCCTAGGTTAACATTTTTTCTCTTTCACTGCTTTACAGATTTTACTCCACTGGCTTCTGGCTTACATAGTTTCTGAAGATAAGTCTTCTCTAGTCCTTTGTTCTGTGTATATCTGGCTGCCTTCAAGATTTGCCTTTTATCCTTGGTTTTTATAAATTTGCCCATGACGTATCTAGGTGTGGGAGTTTTTAAGCTTAAAATTTATATTTGATTATTATTTATATGCAATAAGCTCCACCTATTTTACCTATTTTAAGTACACTGATTGATGCATTTATGCTCCTGCACCACAACCAAGGTATATAACAGTGCATGTTCCCTAAGTATTTCCTCCTGCTCATTTGCAATCTACTCCTTCCCCACCCCAGCCCCAGGCAACCACTGATTCACTTTCTCACTATAATTTTATCTTTTCCAGAGTTCCATATAAATGAAATCATACACTACATAGTCTTTTGTGTTTCTTTCTCCTAGAAAGACTTTGAAATTCATCCATGTTGCTACATACAATAATATGTCATTCCTTTTTGTTGCTGAGTAGTGTTTCATAATATAATTTGTTTATCCATTCACCAGTTTATCGATACTTGGATTGCTTTGGAGTTTTGATTATTTGATTATTTAGCACTGCTAAGAACATTCACATACAAGTCTTTGTGCAAACATAGTTTTCCTTTTGTTGCAGAATTGCAGGGTTCTTGTCTCGGGGGGTTGAAGAGTGAATCTTGAGGACACCAAAAAAAAGGTGAAGTGAAGTGAAAGTTTATTAAGTGAAGTTAAGAACAGAAAAGAAAAGTTCTCCAGAGTGAGAAGCGTCCCAAGTGGGTTGCCACTGAAGGTTTTAATGGTCGGTCTTTCATTTAAAACTGACCAGGGAACTGAAATCTTCTTAACGTCTCTACCACTGATAGCACCAAGTTTACCTCTCCTTTGAAGTTTAGTGGCTTTTAATTGTCAGTCTGTAACTGTCATAAAAAATATTTCATCTCCAGGGACACCTGAGTGGCTCAGTCGGTTAAGCGCCTACCTTCAACTCAGGTCATGATCCCAGTGTCCTGGGATTGAGCCACATATTTTGGGGGGCGGGGGTCTTCTGCTCATCAGGGGGTCCACTTTTTCCTCTGCCTCCCCCTCCCTGTTCCTGCTCGCTCTCCCTCTCTTTCTCAAATGAATAAATCAAATCTTTTTAAAAAAATCTCATCTCTGACATTTAAGACAAAAGGGGTGGTCTGGTTATGTTCTCTTGTCTCTGGTTTCTTACCCCTTAGCATTTTTCCACCCCTGGGCTTTCTGTGGCCCCGGTCTTTTACCCCCCCCCCCCCCACCTCTCTCTCCCTACCTAGCCCCGCCTGTCCCTTATTCACTTTCTCTTGGATAAATACCGAGGACTGGCATTTCTGGGTGGTATGTTAAGATTATGTTCAACTTTACAAGATGCTACCAGGGTTTCAAATTCAAGTCATCTTTCATTCCCACCAGCAATGTCTGTGATTTCTAGTTGCTTTGTATTCCTGCCAAGACCTGATAGGTCAGTCTTTTTCCTTTTTTAGGTCAGTCTTTTTAACTTCAGTCATTCTTGGCATGGTGTAGTATCTTATTATGGTTTTAATTTGCATTTCTCTAGTGATTTGTGATTTTGAATTCTTTTTCATGTACTAGTTGGATATTCATATGTGATCGGTGAAGAGAGCTCATGAAGAAGTGTCCCAGCATTAATGAATCACTTCTGTGCGCCGTGGAAAGTAATAAAAGGAAAGGTAGTTCACCGTAGAGAGTCCGGAGGCCAGCAGGAGGAGCTCTCACTCCCAGCGCTGGTTATCAATCGTAGATCCAACAGGAACAGAAGGACCTTGCACATGATTTTGATTCTACCATCCCAGCCACAGGAAGAAAGCTTTCCCCCTCGCCAGGTACCAGCCTGGCCAATGACAGACAGTCACGGTTCAGCCCATGGGAAGTCACTTGCAGCTCTCAGTTGCCTTCCACGGGCCTTTTGTTTGTAAGCGCCCTCCCAACTCCCTCTTTCCTCTATCAAAGAGAATTTCTCTCTTTTGTTCTGGGGACTTGCCTATGGTTTTGCTGTGGCGTGCTTGTTCCTGAATTCTCTGCTATTCCAGAACCAACCCATTTTTGCTGGTAGAATACCTGACAGTTTTATTTTTAAGGTTAAAGGTGCAGAGGACTGCCTAGGCTCTGGGGACTTCATGGAGAACCAGGTTCCTTCTAGTGGCATCCATCCATGCCGCCCTCTGCTGTCCACTGCTCCGGGAAATATCACTGTCCCTGGGGCTAGCTGCATCCTGGACCGCATGAGTTGGGTCATCTGGACAGAGGCCAGGCGAGCCACCAGAGCTCATCTCCCTCCAGCAGCGCTGACCTGGATTCTGTCCATAATTCACCACGCAGGCAGGCTGCCTGTCTTAAGACTTTACTGAGGAGTTAGGAGCCACCTAAGGGAATGACAACCCAGGAGGGAAGAAATTTGGCAACAGTCACTGGATAGAGCTATTCTGTGCTCCGTGGGGGAAAAGCACCCAGCAAATTGCACTCTCAGACATGTTCCCTCCTGGGTGGCCCTGAGTTACCAGCCCTACTCCCCAACTTCCAGGTCGACTCACTTAACCAGAGCACCTCTGTCCTCTGACCCCTCCCTTTTCAAATCTTCCTGACCTTCTAGAAACCCCACCATCTACATATGTATCTTCCCAACTAGCCCCTCTCTTTCAGCACAGGGTGCTCCATTCCTGACTCATCCCAAGGCAGGGGCAGGACAGTTCAATCCCTCGGAATAGTCCAGGGTCATGGGGGACACTGTGACTCAGGCTCCCTTCCGGGGCTCCCAGATCTTCATGGTTCTCCTGATTGTCTACATATTTATCTTTATCACACACACACACAGTGGCTTTTAATTGTCCTGCTTCCCAAGAACAAATGTTCTCAAACAGTTCATCAGCCTCCAAGAAGAAGAATAAAATTGTTTCCCAAATGTTTCGTCATTTCTGAACATCTTTGTCCACGCTGAAAGTAATGTTTCATATTCACATGGAGAACAGTGTTAGCCTTCTTTCTTCCCCTTCCCTGCCCCTGCTGCTGCCCACCACCCCCGCCCTGGCTTCCCTGGAAATCTTCTAAATAGGGGAGATGGGCCTTAGTGAGACTGTGTCCTTCTTCAGGCCTGGGCCCTTGGTCCATGAGGGCTGGCACAGAGCTCTAAAGTGATTAAGCCTTTAGACAAAGCGGCACCAGCTTGCTGCCTTCTGGGTATTAGGGAGAGAAGTGGCAGAATGTCATTCTCACAGGATGGCCAGGAAGAGCCCTTCGGGGGCTGCACCAGATACACAGGATGATATGGTGTGTGAGAGCTGAAACATCCCGGCCCAGACGTCAACCCTGATCTGCTCACCATGGCTGAGCTGGGAAACCAGAGAGTTCTGTGAGGAGCACCACCTCTGAGCTCTGAACAGTGTCTATATCGGCCTGAGTAAGGGTGGTGGAGGATCTCAGGGAGGTCACCGACCCTGGTCTCTGACTTCAAGTGTTCTGCCTTCCCAGCAGACACTACCTAGCACCCTTCCTCCAAAATTCATGCTAGACAGAAGCCTCCTCTGGGCCTGGGGCCCTGGGACAGCTGTGACCTGTAATGGCTTGTCTGTGAGCGGTCAGTCCCCTGGAGTGGTGGGGATAAGGGCTATGCCACACCAGGGGGAAGCCTGATTCTGGTTTCTCCCACAGTGTGTGGGAAACAGGGGAGCCATCTAGGCCGAGGAGGCCCTATGAAGGCCTGTAGGCACAGGGCTTTCTTCTGTCTTTGAGGCTGAGGGCCATGAGAGAGGGTCTCTGAGAGGATCTGGGACAAGGAAGCAGCATCACCAGACCCCAGTGAGAGCCTGTCTGAGGGAAGCAGGCCACAGAGTGGGTATGGCAGCCTTTGGGGACATGCCCCAGCCACATAAAGTGTCCTCCTGAGGCTTCCACATCGCCCAGGCAGGTCTACGCCCTAAGCACAGGGACTGACTGGGGCAAGGGTGCAGGGCCCTGGGGAAGCAGGGCCAACAAGACCCAGCTAAGGATTCCCA